ACTTTGTAAGCCACGCTCTTCAGTGTAGGGAACATTGTAGAAAAGTGTGAACCTATAGTTGACTCTATTGTCGACGTTCGTACATTACGAACATTAAAGGCATATAGGATGGTTTGAATTTATCCCAAAAGTAACCTACCAAGTGATTATTTGTTTAAAAGGTTGGATCAAAGATCATACTAGTACTAAACAACCCGTTGAAGCATTCCGTGTAGCTTGTCATTGAAATGAAATCAAGAAATAATACAGATGATTTTGAACGATCAGTCAATTGAATGAAAGAGTGCTATTGCCGAATTCGTATTTCGTCGTCAAAGTTCATACCCCCCTCGCCCGCAGCATTAGCTGAACAAAATTCAAACCAGTTTTGTTAATTACATGTAGGCCTATGCCGTTTCTTTGCAAAGATATTATTTGTCGCTGGTTAACATTTCACTATTATAAAACATTCAATTGTGCCGGGAGATTTTTAAAAATCTCCAGGGGGTGGACACGCACAGTGCATCCCATCAGTTCACACGTTCCTTTCGAAAAAGTCAATATTTGCATTACTATAGCTTTTGTGCTAATTTATTGTTGTGCATCTTTAGGCATCAGACTTCATATTCAATGTGAACCATGAACAAGTGTTCATACCGCAGGTACGCCAAAATTGTGATGGAGTTCTTGCCTAAAACCTTGTAAAGATTAGTTCAAATAAAGCGATGTTACAAAAGACTGTTTACTGTTGTGGCCCGTGTAACCAGGGCAGAGGCGTCGCGTCGGCTAAATTAAATTGAAATTTACCCCAATTTATATAGAGTATTTATTTGCTATGCGGAGCATGAAAGAGATTGTGGTTTCGGTCTTTCCGCTTTTTTAGCACATTGCCGGAAAAGGCGCGTGTTGGTTCTTTACCCCTTCACATAACAATACATCAATTTGATAATGACTGGAAAGCCAATGAAAAAAACTTAAATGGCTCAATCCGTTCAAAGTATATCACCATTTAAACACAATGACCCTAAACATCTGACTGCAGGCACTGTTGGTTGCACAACGGCTGCTATTTGGACAGGAACAGAACAAATCCGACAATAGTTCTGATGTCGTTGGACCGCTGAAGTACACAGATAGAATTTCAAAATCCTTTATCCTATCTGTATTGGTAGGCTGTGGCGAGTCAAAATGAGGGTGAGCTACATGTGTGTGTGAAGACACCTTTATCTTCGTCTGCTACGAGGCTTTTCTGGTTGCAGACCAGTAAATAAATTACCATAGACCCCAGTGATAAATGCCCCAATTTTAGAAATTCAGGAAAAAAAACTCACAACTCTCCAAGGTGTTCAAGACACACATCAAATTAAAGCATATTTCATCATCTTTCATTTTCTTTAAGAAGAAATTTCCCTCCGAAGATGATCAGTTTTTCACGCCTTGAAATAGTCCTGAAGCCCAGCGCCATTTTGAAAAACGATGCCTATACACTCCATTCCAAAATAGAGCGCTTTTAGGGCCCAATTATATTAAAATTGTACAGAAATAGAAGTTCACTAGTCCTGTGCACGGCTTCCACCCAAGTGTTATACAAGTCCTCAAGTTCATGGCCCACAATATGCTCAAATACAAAAGATCTTGAGGGCATGCAAATCGTGATTTGGCCGGCGTAGGCAATTTTGGACCCTTCTGACTTGAGCCGCAGAAGATGTCTCCTACATTCTTCTCTTTCTCGAACTGGTCATGTACGGCATTGTCACAAATTTTATTGCTGCATTTATTAGCGCTTTTCCCTCATTTCTGCCAGTTTGGAGAAATATGCAAAGCGCTTAAAGCTTTCGTTGACTTCAGAAGATTCACAACCTGCTTGTCAAACCCAAATGGGGAAGCACAGAATCACATCCAATCAGTGAGTGAACAACAATATGGCAGAAGTCAGAATCCAGTGACTCGTAAAGCGTGTGCTTGAATGAATGGCGTCTTTCATATGAGTGAGGGAACCGGGGGGGGGGGGGGGGCAAGGAGGGTACTTGCCCCACCCCAGCCCTATTTCCCAGGCTAACAAAAGTGCCCCTCTCGCGGTTTTTACCCCTCAGCCGAGAGGCTCGAGGGGTATTGTCATCGCCTAGGGCGTCCGTCCGTCCGGATGTATGTCCGTCCGTCCGTCCGTCCGGGTAGCTTGGTTTCCGGATGATAACTTGAGTTTAAAATGTCGTTTGGGGTTGTAACTTCGGTAGGGGGTTGCCCTTGGGAGTAGGCAAGTTGGGATTGGTTTTGAGGTCAAAAGGTCAAAGGTCAAGGTCACCGTGGTGAGTTAAAGGTAAATGGTTTCCGGATGATAACTTGAGTTAGAAATGATATTTTGGTGGCTAACTTTGGTAGAGGGTTGCCCTTGGGAGTAGGCAAGTTGGGATTGGTTTTGGGGTCAAAAGGTCAAAGGTCAAGGTCACCATGGTGAGTTAAAGGTAAATGGTTTCCGGATGATAACTTGAGTTAGAAATGAGATTTTGGTGTCTAACTTTGGTAGAGGGTTACCCTTGGGAGTAGGCAAGTTGGGATTGGTTTTGAGGTCAAAAGGTCAAAGGTCAAGGTCACCGTGGTGAGTTAAAGGTAAATGGTTTCCTGATGATAACTTGAGTTAGAAATGAGATTTTGGTGTCTAACTTTGGTAGAGGGTTGCCCTTGGTGTTAGGCAAGTTGGGATTGGTTTTGGGGTCAAAAGGTCAAAGGTCAAGGTCACCATGGTGAGTTAAAGATAAATGGTTACAGGATGATAATTGAGTTAGAAATGAGATTTTGGGGTCTAACTTTTGTAGAGGGTTACTCTTGGGAGTAGGCAAGTTGGGATTGGTTTTGGGGTCACAAGGTCAAAGGTCAAGGTCAGCATGGTGAATTCAAGGTAAATGGTTTCCGGATGATAACTTGAGTTAGAAATAAGATTTTTATGTCTAACTTTGGTAGGGTGTTGCCCTTGGGAGTAGGCAAGTTGGGATTGGTTTTGGGGTCAAAAGGTCAAAGGTCAAGGTCACCGTGGTGAGTTAAATGTTAATGGTTCCCGGATGATAACCTGACTCTGGCTGAGGGGTTTCAACAGCAACGCTGTTATTTTTATAAAAGCATTACGATCGCGCTACAAATATAAATGTCTCCTTTCTTGTAACTGAAACTGCCCCTCAAACACACAAATGCCCCTCTCGCATTTACAAGATTGTGCACCTTCTCAAGATGGAAAACTACCCTCGAAAGCACAAATATTCCTCTCGCTATAATACAATTGTTCCACTCTCTCGAGATGGGAAATTGTCCATCAAAAGCAGTATATCCTAAACTGGCTCAAACTGAATGATAACAAAACAGAGTTTCTTCAGATAATGTCCCCTTACCAATTACGCAAATTTGGCTCAACCAACAGCGTCATTGATGAAACTGTAATTCAGTCATCCTCCAAGAGCAGAAATCTAGTTGCAACCCTCGACTGCCATCTATCCACGAGCGATCAAGTATCAGCCATATGTAAAAAAAAAAATTTAAAAAAAAATCTTTCGTCCTCTCCAATATTGACTTCTGCAATTCTATACTGCTTGGAGCTGCGGCTTAACAGATCGCCAGGTTACAGCGAATCCCAAACCATGCAGCCCGCTAAATATCTGGAACCGGCAAATTTCAACATCATTCATGACCTTCATTGGCTTCCAGTTTCCGAGAGAATCAAGTTCAAGGTCATGCTCTTCGTCTGGAAATGCATTCACTCCTCAGCACCCGTCTACCTAAACAATCTCCTCACCTTCTATTACTGCGACAGTCGACTCCAGGACTCAACAACACTTACCATTTCCATTATGTAACAAATCGATCGGCCAGTGTGCCTTTGGTTATTCTGGCCCCTATCTATGGAACAAGCTCCCTCAAGAAATCCGCCAGTCTGACTCAGTGACAACATTTCGGAAATGTTTGAAGACAGATCTATTCAAAGCTCATCATTTCATTATTTTTTTGCAATATTTTTGTTAAGCGCCTTGATCTATATAGCTTTTTTAGGATATGTGCGCTATATAAGAACGTTAGCAAAAAAAAGCAAGATTTTAATAACAACAGTTTTACCAGTCATATTGCTGTAGAAACACGATTTTGATAACAATGCACGTTTTCACTAAATTTTGTGAAAAGATGGTACTAGTGAATTTGTAGAGCCTCCATTTGGTCTGAAACTTATATTCAAGTCATGGAAATCATTTTTTTGACCTGACCAAAAATTGGTATTTCTGTCAAATATGGCCCCGAAAATACACTCGGCCGAATTTTGCAGCTACGAAGTTGCGTATTAAGTGTAAATAACCAATCAACCGTTTTCACATGTATTAAGCTCAGAAAACAGGCACAAGTTCAGTAAATAACCATAAGTTTACCTTCATGTTGTTTTTAGAAACATGATTTTAAGAACAATGCACATTTCACTCAATACTGCCATTTCAGTTTGGTCTAAAACTTGCTTCCATGGATGAGGCTGATCTCACTAAATATGAACATTACCGATATCTTAAAAATCACGGTTTTAAGAAAGTGTACAGTAAATATGAGTGAAATAATATTTACTGTACATTTTGTAATCTTAAGATCGTAATTGTGAATAATATATGGAACTTCAATCTGGTCTTAAACTTGCCTCCACGGATGACGCTGGTCTCACAGATATAGAATTTGTCAAAGAAACTGAATACATGCACAATTTTGCACTCCCTGTTATCTTTGAAACGGAAGGACATATGGACTTGAGGGTTCGTTAAAGGGAAACAGCGCCCCAAATAACCCCAGAAATGACTTTATATTAAAAAGGCCAAGATTGAAGTTACACCCTTTTGCCTTGGGGGGCCTTATGCTAGCTCCAAATGGACTTCATTCTATCACGAAAGTGACCACTGGGTTGTACTTGTTCACATTCAAGGTTTTTCTTTTCTTTCTCATTTTTAGAACTTAAAGTATTTGATTTCGGGCTTTCCTGCTACCGAAGCAGGCCATCCACCAATATGGCCTTGCCGGCAGGGAGGACCAATCTTCGGTTTGGAGTCACCATGCTGAAGCTAGCTCTGGTACTCTCCATAAGCACCAGCTGGATCAGTCCGGTCCTTGCCAGTTTCATCCGGTTCAAACCGGACACCGAGTACGTCTACACCTTCCATTCCTCCACGGAACTGAAGATGGTTCAGACGCTGCAGACCGAGTCTAAGGTATCGATACCGTTAAACTTGAGTGAACAAAAATATCATGCATTTTAATACTTGGTAATTTGTTATTCAGAGTTTTGTTCTCGTGCACAATAAATGGTTGACTCTAAAGTTAATCTTGATCACTCTCAACCGTCTATCACAAATAATACAAATACTAGCTCCTATTTTGTTAAATAACTTATACATGTATACGCTAAAAGGGATAATGTTGCAGCAAAGTGGATGAAAGGAGATTAACATGCCAGCAATCTTTGGCGGCCAACTTACCTATTGTTCTTTGCCAATCAATATTGAGTTGGAACAACCTAAACTTATGTTCCAATGATTATGTAAACGAGTTACATAAATCAATAATCATAGCGTCCAAATACTATAGAAAAAACAGTATTGTGTTGAGAAATAATCATTCTTTAAGCGAATGTAAGTTATTATTAAACAAAATAGGAGCTAGTATTTTTAATATTTTTTCTCTAAATGTATCAATTTTCAATATGTAAATAACAATGAGTTTTTTTCCCGTACGCCCAATAATCGTCTTTCTATCTAAATCATTGGGATAGGCCAAAGTCTTCGATACATGATGCAGGGAAGCAGCCAAACTTTCTGGTTTTTTTCTATATCTCTATATGGACTACGATTTTTTTACTTTCCTATGAACTCGTTTTCAAATGCGATAGGAATTTGTTTGATGTCTTCTATGCCCATTTAATAAAACAATAATTTTTGTTTGTCTGGTTTTCTGATGCTGTTTGATGGATGGTTATTTTGTTGTTGTTGTTGGCGTTGTTTTTGTTCGTTGTTTTTTGTTAGTTAGTTTTTTGTTTTGTTTGTTTGTTTGTTTGTTTGTTTTGGTTTTTGCAGTACTCTATCATTGTACTGCGCCTTGCTCATCAAGAACATGCGGGCTGATGTACATGTACGTCGGGCCACTTCTCTTATAAGAGGAAATTCAAGTAACTGAGTGACCTTAAAGAAAACTTAAACTGAAAAGTAGGCCTGATGTTCCTGTAAGGAAATGGTGATTAAAGTATAACATCGCAAAGCTTCACTACAGGGTGAGTAAAAAAAAAAACCCAGCGGAACCCAAACCTCAAAAAAAGTTCATATTAAAAAAAGATATGTAGCACCAAAAATAATAATGACTGGAAAGCCAATTTCATAAACTACCGTACTTTTAGATGAAAAACAATTACTTAAATTGCTCAATCCGTTCAAAGTATATCACCATATAAACACAATGGCCCTATAAAAACCTATTTCGTCCAAAAATGCAATTTCAAGAATCGTCGTCAAAATTGTCTTCAAACATCACCAGCAATAAAACCTCAGTTTAAAAGTTAAAAAAATTCAACAAAGTCCTTTTGAAGGCCCATCTTTTGAAAAAAAAAGGTGGATTTTATAAATCACAGTGTTTGCCTATATAAGCAGGGCTGTTAATAACGATATTGTGTACTGGAGTTGTTGACAGTTGTTGACTGTGTCATTTGCTTTGTTGTTCCAAACAGTCAGAACACACAAATTACTTTTTTTGGACGAATCAAGTTTTTGGGTCATGAACGGATTGAGCAATTTCAGTGTGTTGTTTTTCCATCTAAATGGCTTTTCAGTCGTTATTATGTTTTGGTGCTAATTTTTTTTTTAAATATGAAATTATATTTTTTGGGTGTTTGAGTTCTGCTTTTTTGACTCACCCTGTATAGTGCTGCACTGCGGTATAGTAATGTAACTCAAAGTTGTCGACCTTTTTCACACAAATCAAACTTTGTCCCCTTCTAGATGAAGCCTGTCTTTGAAAAAAGCTTAAGTTTCTGATGAGATGGAACTACAGGCTTTATTTATTAACGTTTACTTATGCTGTTTATATGTTCATGTCAACATAGATTGGCTTCGTATTGGTGAAAAGTTCCAACAATAGCAGCGGGCTTCAGGAGATTTACCTCCGGGTTCACTCGGTGGTCGTAACCAGCCAGGAGGAACGAGGTACCCAGGATTTATTCCATTAAAGTTTGTTTTTGACATGAAGTGATTTCTGATGTTTTGCCTCCAGGCCTACTCTTGTTAATTTATATTGACAAAGTCGTTTATAGTAAACACATAGGCTCTCACGCATTCAATCCCCCCCCCCCCCCGGAGTTTCCGGCTTCACCCTCAGGCGAAAGAATGATTGAATTCAAATATCGCCAGAACGATTTGGCGCACCTTCAATATTTCTATTAGGTCAAATTACAAGGAAAACCAGTCTTATTGTGCATTTTCTGTTGTTCGGAGGTACTCTGTTTACACGTTGCTAAGGCGACCGTTCACAAACATTTAATGGAATAAAGAGCTCAAACAGTACCCCTATAAAAACAAATGTCAAAAGTCAGTCTGGAAAGTTCCTAAACTGTTTTTTTTTACCAGAGTTAACTGTGATTGAATATATTTAGAAGCCAAAATGCTATTCACTAAAGAGGATTGATTGCATTCGATTTAAGTCCCAAGCAGGTGCACTTAAAAAAGTGAGGTTTTGATGACAATATTACCTACACAACATGACAGTGTAAGAAAGAAATGAAAACGAAAACGACTGTGCGTTGTATAAAGCAATTTTAAATGCAGATTTGAATGGCATCACCGCTTGTTGAGCTGTGTGAAGGTCCTAGGCCGACCCACCGACATACCGACGGACCGACTGATAAACAATTCAATCAAATAACATATGATGCGATATAGAAAATAACATGAGGAAAAAATTGCATTTATGTCGTTAAACATTCATATTTAATGTCAAAATTCGTTAGGAGAACAAATCGAATTCCTTGAAGAGCATGAGCGCTTTTAGACAGTATATTATCTTCTATTGTATTACCATGAATCGTGGTATATCGGATAAGTAAGGTCTGTTTTGTACTTTATTTCAACAACCGACACATCAAACACTGTTAGATGATACGGATTTTTTAATAGTTCACTTCAATGTAGAAACACTTTATATTAAATGGTAATCTTCTCAAAACCTTAACATTCAACATTGCAAATGAAGAGCATTTTACAGATGTTTTTAACCAACCGAAATAACAGTGGCTTACAATATAATTATATAATAATTCGTGGTCTAGTGGTTAGGGTTCGTGACTCATGATCAGAGGGTTGGGGGTTCGAATCCGTACGGTTGTGTCCATGGACAAGCCACTTCATCCCCATTGCCTCTCTCCACCCAGGAGTATAAATGGGTACCGGTATTAGCTGGGGAGTAACCTGCGATGGACTAACATCCCATCCAGGGGGAATAGAAATATTCTCAGTCGTTTCATGCTACTGAAACTGGAGATAAACACTGATGGACCATTATTGGCTGGTACTTATACATGTATAATATAGGTTTTCCCGGCCAATTTTGCAAAAATAGCATTCGAATTCATCTTGATAGTGGCCAATTTGAAGCGACGTAGCGCCCTGCTTTCATTCCCGTGGTTCGTATGCGATTTCAGGCGATCAAATTAGTTTTAAGACCTGACATTTTCATGTTCAACACATCCTAAATTGAGGTTTTGTCATTCGGTTTAAGTGATCATTCAATTTAGCAGTCGGTTTGGTTTAGGGTTATTTGCATGAGATTCTTGTTTTCGCTTTCATTTCCGTACATTCTATTTAGCAATTTTTTCATTCAAAATAAAAGTCAACGAAGATATACGATACGAGGCTTTTCATTTCTTTCACTTTTTCATTATTTCTGCTTCATGTCGTGGTCCAGTTTTGTGTTTCTGGCCCCTCCTCTTGGCAGGTTTTCCCGTCTGCCAGATCTGAGATACGTTGCTACAATTGACCTGGCAGCAGATATCTGTTTATGCCAAGATTGTCTGCAAGTTCAAGATAGTCTTGGGCATCAAATGAGCATGCTCTACAATTGAAATTCTCATGTAACGCGCATGAGCTGGCATATTGATATTTCTAGTGCTTCAATCTAACAGTTTGCATGGTGATCAGAGTAGTGGCAGAGTCTTGTGGGAGACAGGTTTTTATATCTATATTTCCAAATTGGAACAAAAGCGCTCCATCTTATTCAAACAAATAACCAACGACTTAACGACATGGACCTATTTCGAATTACTTTGCTTACTTTCCACATATGATTGCCTAATGATGAATTCGAATGACCAAACTTACTCAGCTGGAAGCTCCGTCGAATTTGGATGCTCGTTTGTGCAATTTTAATTTGAATGCCCTATTATTGAAATTGCATGATTAAAATGTGAAATCGCATGCTTTTAATGTGAAATTGATTGGTGTTTTTAGGTAATTGAATGTTGATCTCAACGTGCATTCAAATTCGTGCGAAAATGGGTGATTGGTCGCCAATTTGGCTGCCAAATCTGCTTACTTGGCCGGGAAAACCTATATATAAGACGAATGTTAAAAATGCAGAATTCTTCAACAAATTCTTTGACCGCATGAAGTTAAATGTATTAGAGAATTAAACGAGAACTTTACATCAGCATCGATCATTGAAGATCCCAACAAAATCTTAGAATAATATTTGTTGGCCTACCTATTCTCCGATTTAAATTTACTGTCACTGAATTGTTTCTTTTCAGTTCATCTAAGCGAGGAGAGAGATTTTACTGACTGGTAAGTCTTAATTCTGAGCCCTGTACATGTCGTTTGCCGACATCTTGATATGATGAATAACTGATGGCAAGCAATACTTATGGATCACTTCTTAATATCGAAAGAAAAATCTGCTTATATTTAGTTATGTATATAATTACTGTACAATAATTTGTAGCCTGACATGTATTTTCCCCAGTGCGGAAACTGCATCATTGCTTTTTGAAAAATGTAACCAGAAAATACTTCTTATCGTAGCCGGGTTGCACACGACCAGATAAAAAAAAATTCAAATTGAAATAAAATACATACAATTGAAAGCAAAAACTGTTGGAAGTAAAATCCAACTCGTTAAAGAGCATGGACATTGGACCGTGTGTCTTTTGTTCGTTAAAAATGGACCTTGCGGTTTGAAACTCCCGACAACAATAGCAAAGATATAACACAAAGATACATCTTTAAAGTTTCTAAACCCTTCCACCGCACTATGTCTCTTTCAGAACGACCAAGCACGTACTAAATACTGACATTTGGGCGGTATCATGAAATACAATAGTGCTTTCAATTGGCCGAGGGCCAAGGAACTACAACTCGCACCCTGTGTAAACTTTCGAGTCGTGAACATGTGCCGATGTGCAAGATGGCAAGAAAGGACAAACAATTGCCCGGATACTTTCAGATGAAAGATACACAGTCATGTAAACTTAGATGAAGAAACAAAAGGAGCACAAGTCTAATTTCTGTTTCGGGTTTTCAAAGTTTGGGTTGCAAAACAGTCATAGGACATTTCCCTACGTTGCGGTGAAATAATGCGATTAATCAAATGGCGCTACTCTCAAAGAATTGCAGCATAACAAAAGAGTTTAATTGAAGAGTTAAATGAAAGCACTAGAAATGCAATTAATTGATTGCTGCTGTAACTGTTATTTCCCACTTACTTGTCCGCAACAAGAGCTGTTCATCACATCAACTAATGGTTTACAATCATTTTGTATACAGGGTGACACCCCCCCCCCCAAATGCAACCCTTAATCATTTGCCTATTAAAAATAAGGGATCGGTGGATTTTTATGTTTTTGGTATCAGATTAAAGCTGAGAGCTTTTTCTTTCAAATTCTTGGGGAAAAAAATTATTAAAATAGCACTTTGGGTTGCTGAGAAAATGCCAATTAAATTAGTAATTTTTCATCCTGTACACAAAACATTACCACAGTAAGGGATTTTAACTGTACCTATTTGTGCATGTCCTAATCCTTACAAAAAAAAAACATGACATAATATTATGACAACAGTAGGCCTACAAATGAATTTGATGGAACTACCTTTTGTTTTTTAACCTGCACATGTATCTCATCCTTTTTAGTCCTATTTAAAACCCATTCAGTGTCATAAATATGTCAAAATACTAAAGAAATTGCACAAATGAAGGATAATTGCACAGTAGGCTTACAGTAAAATGTTTCACTGCTTGAAATACTTGTATACAGGCTGAAAAATACTTTTACATAATTGGCATTTTCTCAGCAACCCAAAGTGCTATTTTCATGACCGATTTTTTTTCTTCAGTATTTGAAAGAAAAAGTTCTCAGCTTTAATCTGATACCCAAACATTCAAATCCACCGATGTCTTTATTTTAAAGGCAAAAGTTTTAGGGATGCATTTTTTTTTGGAGGGGGGGGGGGGTCACTCTGTATTTGGGATTATAAAATCGTTTATTGCATACACCTAAACTCTCTTGTACAGGTTTTCATTTGACATCAGCGAGAATGGAGCGATTGGCCAGGTGTACTTCCCAGGTGACCAGGATGATCTGGTGATAGGTATTAAGAAAGGTCTGGTCAGCCTGTTGGCAGCTAACCTGCAACATCCTCCACAAGAACAGGTATATGAGATAAAATAAAGGGAACTTGCACAATTATATGCCAGTTATAATCAGCTGCACTCGTTGCATTCCGGATCATCAATTTTTGGGCCATGCATGTAAACAACTCTGGTCCCATACTCATACGCTCCGATTCTAACATTTTTCTTGATCGTATTGGTTAAAAGCAGTGGGGGGGGGGGGGGGGGGGCTACAAGTAGTAACGCTTGTGAGATGGTGTCACTTTCATTTCCTTAAAATAGTAAATTTTAAAACTAAAACAAATTAGAACTTTCCCCGCTGGATATGATTTCGTATTGGGCCTGGATACCTCCGCATACACTGAAAAGTAAGTGAAGGACGCCTTGGGATATGAGAGAGATATGATTGACACACACAAAAAGAACGTGTTTTTTAATCAATAAACGTGACTTCAAATATACTTCAAATATGCTTGTTGTCAGCAAGCATGTTCTTTCACACCATTCAATTTCATCAATTAAAATAACAGGTGTTGGGAAGCGACTGGAGCTACGACTGCAATGAGACAGGTCATGAGGGTCAGCACGAGTCGTCCTACACGGCTCAGATGGCTCCTGGCAACGATGGCATTATTGTCTTCACCAAAACTAGACGGACTCATCCAATACCATACGGCAAATCCAAACACCAAAAGGTAAGGACAGGATATCACCCGTACCCGGGGGAGGGGCGTGTGTGTACGCAACCTCCCTCCCCCATTAAAAAAATACAATAGGTCACGTTTTTTTCTAACCTTCTATTGGTGAAGTCATTTGGCCGATCTGTTATTTTCACTCCTGCTTATGGAAATGACTTTTCTCCCCGAATTATAAAACACAGAAAACATGTTTAAAAATTGCAAAATGTTAACAAGTTATGTATCACATAATGCAAAATATCAGTGGAAAATAGTGATCGTGCACGCAACAGATTGTTTGATGCACTCCTTGAAAATGCATGTTTGTGTCGCTTTCAAGATTATTTTCAATCCTTGTATTGTCATTTCCACATATGTGTCTTGGCGCCTACCATATAGGTTTTTTTTTAATTTCCATATTCATGTGAGCAAAACTGTGAATTCATTCAAGGCGGAACCTTCAAAATGAGGCCTCTGCTTCAGCATCAAAAGTTGCCAGAATGTTGGTGCTTTTTTTACTGGTTGTTTGTTTGGTTCATGGTGGTTCATTGTTCTTTCGATGCATATAACAGTGATTACATGAACGAACTCTATGAAAAAAAAAGTTTTTAATAATCAACTTGCCAGGCTTCATCATTTGAACAGAAACGCCCCACCATTAATTTTGTTTCATTATAAGTGTACCTCGCACACAAAAAATGAGAGATGTCTCATTTTTTTTTTTTTTTAAATACATTTCAGAGGTATGAAAATTCGTCCGTGAAAAGAGTTTTGTCAGGTGCACGCCGTTTTCGGGTTTCCCCTCATAAGGAGAAAATACGCCGATTTTTGGTTTGAAGAGCACCAACAGTAAGCTTCCAAGTTATATGAGAAATGGCGCTGTTGGACCATAAGACAAATAGTCTCTACGATGAGTTTATTCTGAAAGAACCGCCGGGCAGACACGCAAAGGTTTGGGGAAGTTGTCATACGGTACTACACCGCAAACTAGACTTATTGCTGACTTCATCATGTAAATGATTCAATCTTAATTCGAAACGTTTCTCTTCCTGTTCCATTTTCGAGATCTTGGAATTTGTTTTCAATAGGTCTACCCATATTGTTTTTCTTTAGCAATACCCACTTATTTCCATGTCTTTTTGAATGATAATGGAACTTTTAATGGGATAACTACTTCACTTGGAATTACTTGCGGCCCGACAGCGTTTCGTCAGGCGCTCCAAAGGGTCGCAGCAATCTAAAACAGCCAATAAAAAAGCAGTTCAAAATTCGTCAGTATAGAAAAAGAGTGTTGAATTGATATATAAGAAGGGTTATCCATTAGAGACACACTCTCGGAAAAAATGGTCCGGTTAACTTATTCCTTATGATGGGACTTGCGGTTCGGCCGAAGTCAATTTAGCGTGATCGGCTGATGACTGATAAGGTTTACGCACAAAATCCCGAGCCAACGAGGTTTTTGTATAGAAAGCTGCCGAACCACATTTTGCGAGAGTGTGTCCGTAATGGGGTTGAAGCCTGCCGGTAATGCTGAGCCATACTGCCAAAGTTACCAATGGCATCCCTACATTTTCTCGCGCAAATTGGACCCATATTTGGACCTAATTTTATCAAATCTGCTCTTAGATAATAGCCCAAAAGCTAGGGAGATGATCCTCGGCTATATTCGCACGATTCCACCGATTTTAAACTAGACGGTCTCGTTTTTTACAAAAAATTGTGGGGGCACTTTTTGTGCAAATTAACGACTCGCGTAGAATTTTTTGAAACCCTAATCAAAATTATTGCGCCCGCCGTCGGTTTTATTGCGCCACTTCTGATATGTCTTCTGTCTAGCCCCCCGCAGTCACCCCCAGCCACCCCCCAGCCACCCCACCACCACATCGACAAATAATAGTAAATAAATACGGTTTAAAAATGTGCTCGTTTATTCAAAAATTCATGAAGCATATTCAAACTGATTGGATGTTTCCAAAGTGTCTTTCCCATTTGCAAAAATTCTTTTTAAAAGCCCATGGGGGCATGCAAATTGTGATTTGGCCGGCGTTTGCAAATTCGGGTCTTTTTATTGGACAATCTTAAAAGGTAGAACCTAGGAGCCTAGGAGATGTTTTTTTATTTCCGTTTAAGAGTAAATATTTCCCTTACAAAAACACCTAATTATTTTATATTCCCTGACGTGCCTTTATGTGCGCACCCCGCCCCCAATCACCCATAAATAATAAAACGTCATTTCAGCTGGGTTTTGTTACTTTTGTAGTAGCTTGACCTCCCCCGCCAACAACTAAAACAAAAATAGGCAAAATACTGACAACCTTCCAAGGACATCAAGTGTCTCACATCTTTCAAGTTTTATTTATTTTGTTTAATTCCATAGTCTTATTAACATACAAATATTTAAACCAATTCATACAAACAAATACAAAAGATTCCAAATGAGGAAAAAAAGGTGGGCAGAAGGCCAATAAATTTGAGAAATTAACAATCACTTTATAATATCATAGATGATTATTACATAAGCAACGACTACATGACTGTACACGGTAAAGCCAGGTTTTTGTATTTCGCCATTTTGTGAATAAGATTTTTAAAAAGGGAAGATAAAACTTGGGAATGCCCTCCTCCAAAAAAAATCCTAGATTTTGAAACATTTCAGGACTATATTTTGTCTAATTTAACTATTATGTGAAAAAAATATGCGAGGCAAGTTCAAACACTCGATATATATTGCGTTTATCCTTTTGTGAGGTTAGTTAATTATTAATAAGAAAATGAAAAGACATGCAAAACCACCAAGAAAAACAATTGTGCATACGAAGTAAAAAATATAACAAGTAAAAAAAGTGCAATGAAATAAATCACAAAAGGACAAACACAAATGTAATTTGAGTGTCACTTATACCTGTTGCAATGCATTTTGATGGTTAGAAGTTCCTGAACAGTTTATCTTTTAAAATTTCCCAAAAATTAAACGTTCTTGTGTTTTCTAATGAATATACAATGGAAAGAAAGTCACGTTTTAGATAAAACCGACGTCTTGTTAAAGACGTTAAATTTAAAATAAGTTTGTTACATTTCTTCAGTTTTTAAACAATAAATTAATCCTTTTTGAAATCTTTCAAAACTCTTATGACTTACATTGGTTTTCTTAAAAATGCACTTTCAATTTCAAATTAAATTTATAGAGCAAAATTCTCCATTGTCAACTGAACAAAAAGCAAATAGAAAGCCTTAGGCGATACCTCGTTTATAATTTATAATCCAATTGAATGCATTAAAGGTAAGGAATATGAAATTATTAACTTATTGATGCAATAATTTTGGATGACCCAGGACCGATCAAAGGAACATCCCTTCTCCCAGACATGTCACTGCTAAAAAAGCCAGTGACAAATTATTACCCTTACAATAATTTTTCAGCAAGTTTCCATTATTGTCCATTGTTAACTGTCTGTTGCAGGTTTAAGATTATGTGTGATGAGGCTGTTGGAGCCTTGGAGGGTTCATTTTCGTCCAGACAAAGCAGCATAGCTCATCCAGTCTATCTCAACTTTTAGATCATCCTAAGTGGACAGGGGTACGAAAACACTGGGCCTAGCCCATTTGTTACTGAAGTGAAACATTGCAAATGTAGCCAATAATTATGTCTAAGCCCAAGGGCGGATCCAGGGGGGGGCCAAAGGGGGCCATGGCCCCCCCCAAAACGAAACCAATTTTTTTTTTTTTTTAATGTGACATCGCAATAAAGGCAGGCAATGAGTACACCACCATCTTTTCCTCAAAAAAAATTGGTTAAAGTGGTCAGAAATTGCCTCAGATCGCACCACAGAGCATCTAGAATCCAAAAAATTTTCGGGGCCCTCACGGGCCCCGAACCCCACGCCGTAATTTTTGAGACCCACTTTTTTGGGGGGGACCAAATTTTTTTTTGGCCCCCCCCCAAATTGTGTTCTGGATCCGCCCTTGTCTAAGCCTACCTATAACTAGGTCATGGGTAGGATTCAATGGAAACCAAATGATTCTACCCATGTTTCCATTATTTCCTTTTTAAAACAGACACGATTACTGTGTCATAATGTGCCGACGCTGATAATGGCAGGTTGCTTTGGAAACTGCATATAACTCGCACACTATAAACAACCATTAAGATGACAAAATGCCATCTTAATCCTTGCCGATCCCTTCCAAACCGGACTTACATTGAACATAGTACTATACGGAAGGAGGGTTACACGTAGGCTAACATCAACAAGGAAATAATAGTTTTCTAGGTTACTGTAAACCTGTCGCATATCTTGAAATGCTTTCTTTTGAAATTTACATTAAGTACGGTATACTCGTAGCCCACAAAGATTTGATCGTGAAAGTCTATATTAGACCGATCTATTTAACTACTGCAACGCTTTTTTTCCGTTATGGTTTTCGTGTTCTCCCCTTCAATAAAACAGCACTGTCGGCCTTATACGTTATCAAAGGTCAAAGTAAGACAACCAAATGAGTATCCCTGCCGATCTTTCCAAATCGGACTCACATAAATGATGTAGATTAAGCTTAAACCTTTACAAAAACACGCAGAAATGTCGCATGCGATAGTAAATATGTCGCATGTCTTATACAGCCATTTTCCCTATCGCTTTGTTGATTACACTTAAGTTGTACCCTTTCACATGCATAACCAGGCTATTTCTGGCCTTTTTGAAGGCAAACTTCTTTACAAAGTCACAAATTGCAGTTATTTTCGCCGACGAATAATACTTAAAAGATGTGGTGTAGGCCTAGAACTCGGGGGAATGCCTTTAACATGCTGCTTTAATTGAAATTCAGTCATTTTCTTTACATCGATATAATGGAGTTTTTCCTTAATTTCCGTCATTTTTTTACCTTTTTTTTCTGCCGCCATTTTCCCCACCTTTTACCGAAATTCGCTTTCCGACTTTTTAAGCAGTGTGGTACCGTACCGGAAGTGGCTGCCGATTACAATTTGAAATTTTTTTGTTAACATTATTTCGGTCATTTTTCCTTAGCAAATTTTTGCATGGCATAGGGCCTAGAAGTTAAAAAAATTACCGATTTTCAAATATTTATTTCTTTCGCTGCCGCTGTTAATCTTTTTACCGTAATTTTCGTCTCTTTAATTTCATTCTTCCGCAATCGAATTTTTTTTACACTGTAGGTAAGAAAAATAACACTGATATCAAGTATTATTTCTCTCACTAACGCTGTGATTTTTTTAGCCGTGTAAAATATGTTTCGTCACTTCACTTATTTGCCGCGTTGATTTTCGGTGTAATTTTCGTAATTTTCCTGTAGCTACCTGTAGAAACAGAGTGCCGGGCTGCGAGAAGAAACTCCACGTACTATGTGATTTTCGTTGTAATTTATTTAGGCTGATTTGATTTTTGTTTCCACGTTTCGTCACACGCGTTTAGTCAACTATTTCGGGTAGGTATCGCAGTAAAGGTGAAAACAACACTGATTTCAGTTATTTTCGGCGTAAATTTCATCATTTTCTTAGCCACTTGTTGGAAGCGGAGAAGCATTTCTGTGAGTAGAAAATCCACTCATGACTGATTTTCACTGCAATGTATTTTACACACATTTGACTTTTTTTCTTCAATTTTCGTCGTATTCGTTGTCAAATATTTCAGAAATAGGTATCTCAGTAAAGTTAACAAGTAACAGTGATTTAAGCTATTATTTCTACCAATTATAGCGGTAACTTTGGCGTAAGAATTCGTATTTTCGTCGTTTTCATGTTTTTAAAATAATATGCAGTCTGATTTTGGATCCAATATTCCGCAAATTGGAAAGTGTCTGATGAGGGCATCCTTGTCCAGATAGAGCAGCTTCGTAATTTTCCAGTCTCATCCAAGCTTGGCGGTCCTCATCTTCTAAAACATGACAAAAAGAGTAAACAGCATAATTTAGAATTAATATTTAAAGAGGAAATCAAGCATCGTAAGAGGTGACATAGTATTAAAGGAATAACAAATTTAAGTGTAGGCCTACATATCCCTGGTCTCTTTTCAAGTAAACATACCTTAAGAATTGGTAATGGCCAACCAAGCAGGCAGAGTCAGTCAACCGTTGGTCCTCCCAGCTTATGGGAGCTTGAGGCAGGCTCATCCATCTTAGGGCAATTCCCTCACCAGTCAGTGGTCATCATGTCTGTAAAAAGATTCAAATGACGAAAGACAATATCCGAATTATTAAGAAATATCTGAAAGGTAGAGCAAGGGGGGGGGGGGAGAAGAAATATTCGAATTAACCCCACAAAGCAGTGCCCCACTACCAGCACTCTTTATTTGTGGGAGAATATAGAAGAGCACCAATTCATCCATTTTTATTACTTATTTCTGCTTATTCTTTAGGTACATGTAACTAAAAACTAACCTCAAGAATTAGTAATGGGAAGCCCAGCAAGCAGGCCATCTGTTCATCTGTCGGTCCTCCTCCCTGCTTCCGGTTCCTCGGGTTTCTGTTCCCTCATTCCCATTCCCTCATCAGTCAGTGGTCCTCACTTTGCTGAAAGGATTCAAATAACGAAAGGAAACATTTGAATTATTAAGCTGTATTCGTGCCAGGGCTCGAAAGGGGAAAGAAAACATTGAATTAACCCCACAAAGCAAAGCCCTGCTACCAGAACTCGTTTGTGGACGAACCTATAATATTAAACAGAGTCAGATCGCCCATTTAAATTAGTTCTGTGACTTGATTGTTTCTGTTATGGGGAGGCCTACATGTAAACTAACCTAATAATCAGGAATGGGAAGCCCAGCAAGCAGGTCATCCGTTCATCTGTCGGTCCTCCTCCCTGCTTCCGGTTCCTCATGTTTCTGTTTGATGAGGCTGTCGGAGCCCTGACGATGTCTTGAGACAGGCTCATCCTCATCTCAGTAGAGCAATTCCCTCATCAGTCAGTGGTCCTCACTCTGCTGAAAGGATTCAAACAACGAAAGGAAACATTTGAATTATTGAGCTGTATTCGTGCCAGGGCTCGAAAGGGGAAAGAAAACACTGAATTAACCCCACAAAGCAAAGCCCTGCTACCAGAACTGGTTTGTGGACGAACCTATAATATTAAACAGAGTCAGATCGCCCATTTAAATTAGTTATGTGCCTTGATTGTTTCTGTTATGGGGAGGCCTACATGTAAACTAACCTAATAATCAGGAATGGGAAGCCCAGCAAGCAGGTCATCCGTTCATCTGTCGGTCCTCCTCCCTGCTTCCGGTTCCTCATGTTTCTGTTTGATGAGGCTGTTGGAGCCCTGACGATGTCTTGAAGCAGGCTCATCAATCCCAGTAGAGCAATTCCCTCATCAGTCAGTGGTCCTCATTTTTCTGCAAGGATTCAAATGACGAAAGAAAACATTTGATTTATTGAGCTGTAATTGTGCCAGGGCTAGAAAGGGGAAAGACAACATTGAATATTAAACCCCACAAAGCAAAGCCCCGCTACCAGAACTCGTTGTTTGTGGACGAACATAGAAGAGCGCCAGATCGCCCATTTTGATTAGTTCTTGACTGTTTCTGTTTAAGTAGGCTACATGTACACAAACCTGATAGTCAGTAATGGGATGCCCAGCAAGCAGGTCATCCGTTCATCTGTCGGTCCTCCTCCCCGCTTCCGGTTCCTCGAGTTTGTGTGATAAGGCTGTTGGAGCCCTGACGATGTCTTGAGGCAGGCTCATCAATCTCAGTAAAGCAATTCCCTCATCAGTCAGTGGTCCTCATTTTTCTGAAAGGATACAAAAGAAAACATTTGAAATATTGAGCTGTATTCGTGCCAGGGCTAGAAAGGGGAAAGAAAACATTAAATTAACCCCACAAAGCAAAGCCTGCTACCAGAACTCGTTGTTTGTGGAAGAACATTATAACAGAGTCAGATCGCCGATTTTGATGAGTTCTGTGACTTGATTGATTCCGCGAAGAGGAGGCCAACATGTAAACTAACCTCAAAAAATAGTAATGGGTAGCCCAGCAAGCAGATCATCCGTTCATCTGTCGGTCCTCCTCCCTGCTTCCGGTTCCTCGAGTTTCTGTGTGATGAGGCTGTTCGAGCCTTGGAGGGTTGATTTTCGTCCAGACAAAGCAGCCTAGCTCATCCATGCAGTCTCAACTTTTAGATCATCAGTTTCTTTGATGAAAGCTGCAACTCTTTCCTAAGTGAACAGGGCTACGAAAACACTGGCCCTAGCCCATTTGTTACTGAAGTGAAACATTCCAAAGCATTATGTCTAAGCCCACTTGTAATAAGGCCACTTGTTACCAAATAGAAACTAAACGATTCTACCCATGTTTCCACTATTTACTTTTGAAAACAGACATGATCTCTTTTTGTCATAATGCACACGAACATGTGCTGACACCGATAACGGCAGGTTGCCAATAAGTTGTACCCTTTCACAATGTACTTTTTTTGGTGGGTCGGGGGGGGGGGGCAATTAGGTCTTTTTGAAGGCAC